TACACTTCGTCAAGCATTTGAACTCTGAAGTGAAGAGTTGTAGAAATGAAAGGAAAATATCACAATGGGACTCAAGAATGATTTTAGCTGTGGTCTGTAACTGACAAGATATTTACTTTTTTGTTCCTTACTTTTGTAAAATACAAATATTTAAACAGCTCTTTTTTTTTTAAAGAAAAACACAAGTAGTTTCTTATTACTGGTATTCAAATAAGCCATTTATGTAAATGGATTGCACTGAAAATGTGGAATTTCCTAGCAATGCACTCCCAATCAAAGGCAAATGCTTATGGGATTCTTACCCTAGCTAGCACGAATTCTTAAAGATATTAGGCTACCTAAGACAGCTTTGTCATATTTAACCAGGCTTTCTGTACCACTGTTTTTCAATTCAAGTCTCTAACTTGTCTCTGCAATCCAAGTGTATGTGTTACATTTCCCTGAAAGTCTACACCTGCCTGGAAAATGAGAGCTCAGCAGCCTCTGCTGAGCCTTAGTCTCACCCGTATGGTACTAGTGCTATGGGTACAGTATCTGTGAAATGGGTACAGTGATAGTACAATGGGTAAAGTACTAGTGCATGCTGACTTTTTGATACCCACAGTTGCCAAAGTTGTATGTTTTGACCATTAGTTATTGATAATGTTGCAAATCTTTACTCAGATTGTTTCATATTATTAATTCCAGTGGTGTGACTGGAAAGCACATATAATCTGACAAAAACTTATTTGTTTAAGCCTTTCTGTTCCTCAGAGGGAGAACAACAAAGTTTCTTAGTCAGTGAACTGTTCTATTATTCATTTTTTTAAACTGTAAGATGGCCTAGAGATACAAATATTGTTTGCTGTTTAAAAACAGACCTGTTTTCCAAATTTTGATACATGTTAATGTAGGATACTAGTAATAGCATTATGAATATTACATGAGGAGGATGTTTCAATTAGGTGGTTGAACCACTCGGAAGTTAGTAAAGAAAATTAATTTATGTAATTCTACCACCCTGTGCACATGCGTGATTATGCTGTTTTTAGTAATACAGTCACATACTATTTTCCAAACAATGTACATTTTTCCTACAAGTATGGAAACACATGCACAACATCTCCTATTCCTGTGGAGCATTCTGTGTACACTAGAACCAATAAATCTTATACAATATGTACAGTGAATAAGCCAAGGACTTCTACACTATGCATCTTACAAGGCTGCAGGAGGACAAAAACCTATATGATGGTATCCTTCTTTATTAGGAGCTTCTTAAGATGATGCCTTCTTGAGAACTTGAATAAATACTGACAGAAATGTAAAACAATTAAGTGAACAAATGTCATGTTGTAACCTTATTTTCTCCACATACTGGCTCACATTTCTTGGTCAGCTGGCAGAGGCACAGGTTTACCTCTCTGGGTACGTCTACACTGCATGGCTATTTTGAAATAAGCTATTCTGGAAAAGTTCCAAAATATCTTAATCCGAAATAGCACGTCTACACTGCACGTGAAAATTAGTCTGAGGCAGGTTTCCGTAATGTAGACGTGCTATTTTGATTTAGAGCCCCAGGAGGCCCTGGGGAGGAATAACTTAGAATGGCCCTGATGCTGCATCCCACTTACGCACTGGGAGCAAGAGGACTTTATAGCCAGTGCTCTGTGATCTACACTGGAGTTCCAGTAAGCTTCCAGATGAAAGTATACATATTTGATTTTAAACTACAAAACTTTAGATGATAAGCAATCTTGTTACCTGAGAGTCGGCCTTTCTCCTCATGACATACAGTCACACATGAAATCCCTTTGGAACCCTCCCTCTCTCACCCCTTGGTATTCCAGACATACAGTCACACATGAAATCCCTTTGGAACCCTCTCTCACCCCTTGGTATTCCAAGGACCAGGTATGAGTGTTTTTGGGCATGCTGCCAGGGGCATCTATTTCCCCAGGTTCTTGAGGAGCAGGTTAGTGGTTATATTTATGGGCAGTCCGTTTGTGTGGTTTTCAATTATGGTAGTAGTGTTCAGAGCACAGAATGTGGGCCTAAACATATTGCATCTCTATACATTTAAGAAAAATAAAACATTTGGCATAAAATACACTGCAGGTGTAATTCCACTGAGTTCATAGAGTTCGTAGTAAGTCCTCTTTGAAGTTGAGCATCTTTTAGAAAAACATCCATTCTTGATTTTAAAACTGACGATACACAGTCCACCATAGCTCTGAGTAGGTTGTTCTAATGATTAATTATCCTCACTGTTAATAATTTGCACTGAATTTCTAATGCAAATTTGTCTAGTTTCCGCTTTAGCCACTGGATCATGTTATACCTTTTATCTGGTTGATGGAAGAGTCCATTATACATTTTTTATTCCCTATGTAGGCACTTTCACCCCTTACCCTTTCTTTGTTAAGGTAAATAGATTGAAGCTCCTATCATTTTAAAGCACGGTTGTCATTCCTTTAATCATTCTCATGGTTTGTCCCTTGACCGCTCTCTCCAATTTATTACCATACCTTTTAAATTGTAGACACCAGAACTGACCATAATATTCAAAGTGCAGCTCTACTAATCCTAAATACAGGACTCTCTATTCCCACTCAAGAGTCCTGATGATACATCCAAAGATTACACTATAGGCCTTGGACCAGAGCATCACACTGGGTGCGCATATAAAGCTGATTATCCCAAAAAACCAAAGGCTATGTCTACACTGCTGCCTCTTGCAACAAAAAATATGCAAATGAGGCAAAGCGTGAAATATTGCTATGCCTCGTTTGCATAATTAACGAGGCTCCATTTTTTTAGTGCAAAACTCCCCTCTTGCGCAAGAGCCATTCTTCCTCTTTTTTTCCGGAAGAACAGCTCTTGCGCAAGATATACAGATGGCCATATTGAACCACATATTGTTTGCTTATGCCCAGCTTACCCTACAACTTGGATTATTCTGTGTCAGTGACCAGTCCTCTTCATTATCCACCACTCCCCCTAAAATAAGTCAATTTTGATTGACACTGGGGTGAAGGAGCTCAGAGTCTCACCCTCTCTCCTCTGAGTGTGTTAAAGCCACTGCATTAGACAAGAGCTTTGTTCTGTATGAATAATGAAATTGATTAAATACCTAACCAGGGAAAATTATACAGAACTTAGAGGAGTTACTCTAGAGCTAGACAGGTATAACTGAGAGGAGAACTGTCTCTGTCTCCAAATACAGTTAATCCAGTTGTAAATGACACTTAGCAAATGAAAATATGACCATGTATATTAATATCAATACTGATTAAATATATTGTATTTTTTAGTTTAATTTTTCTGTGTTAAGGATTCCTTTGATGTAAGGGTGCTGTAGTATGTCTCTGATCTCCATTATCTAGTGTAAATACTCTCTTGATAACATCACACAGCTATAGCCCATACATTTCTTGGTTTCCAGAGCAGAATTGTAAACAGCATGTGACACAGCTTCACTCTACTCCAAGCTACTGTATTTTACCAGCAATTTGAAGAAGAAAGGACTGTCTATACCACATACTCAAGAGAGTTTTTGTTTTTCAGCAATAATCTCAATAAAAATTCTTAGATTCAACAACATGTTTTTTCTGCTGAAAACTGACAACATGCTCTTTTGATTTCTGGTATTTTGTGATATGCAGTAGGACAGTTAAGTGGATATGTATCAGAGGGGTAGCCGTGTTAGTCTGAATCTGCAAAAGCGACGAGGAGTCCTGTGGCACCTTATAGACTAACTGAAATGTAGGAGCATAAGCTTTCGTGGGCAAAGACCCACTTCGTGGGCAAAGACATGCACCTGACGAAGTGGGTCTTTGCCCACGAAAGCTTATGCTCCTACACTTCAGTTAGTCTATAAGGTGCCACAGGACTCCTTGTCGCTTAAGTGGATATGTTTTTGTGGCATATACAATCATTAATATTAGGAGACTTCATTAAATGAGCTCACTAATGATTGGATTAAATAAGAAATATTATGCTCAGCTCAATGAATTTGCCTGAAATTTTGCAGTACATAATCTAGAGTTTTTTAAATATTAAATTTGACCCTGAGACACAGACTGAAATCAAAGCAGGCCCATATAGAGATCTTTAAATAGGTAAGTTGCACAAACTACTTGACTGTTCTTGCTCTATTAATCTGGAGCAGAAATTTAAACAAGTTTAAAATGAAATTAGGTTAGGAATGTTTACCGATCAGCATTGGTTTGCAGCCCAAACTCATTGTCTAATTGGCTGTTCCTTAAAAAAGATTAACAAAGTGACTCAGTGAAATTATACTTTCAGTTTGAGTCTCCAGAAGAGTAACAGAAGTGATTAGGCTCTATTCTTGGTATCTAGAGAAATTTTTGCCCAAATCACAAAAGCACCTAAGGACATGCTGAATTTTAAGCATGTCCTTAAATTATGTGTCTGTTCCAGAAACAACCTAGCACAAACCTGCCTCTAAGTATATGCTTAAAACCCATTGATTTTAACAGGAATTAAGCACATGCTTAATTACTTGGTTGATCTGTGGCCCACATAACCATGCAATTTTGTATAACTGTGAGACTGGGTCAGCAAACCATTAAAACTGGACCAGTGACATGGCTTGCTCGCAAAGCTGTGAAGTGGAGCTTTCAGTTAGGCTGGCTCAGCTCTGAAAGGAGGCGAACATTCTAGATGGTGCTTGGTCCTGTCGCAAGGGCAGGGAACTAGACTTGACCTCTTGAGGTCCCTTCCTGGTCTAGAAGTCTGTGATTCTATGGCACAGCCCCTCCCTTTCCATATTAAAACAAGGTTGAAAAGGGAAAAATTGTAGTGTAATCAGAATAATATTACAACGCAATGATCAATGTCTAACACAGCAGCTCTGAGAAATACAGCCTCACAGAATTACAGTGACATCAGTGCCAAGAGTGGAAAGCATACGGGAAAAGACTAGAAATAGGGAGGTATTGCTGAGAAAACAAGAGACTTAATTAAGTTTATTGGACACTTCTTTTGATTACACCTACTGATTCTGGGTCTCTCTGTTGTTCAAGAAAAGCCGAGAATTCCACCAGTCTGAGTTTGGTTGTACCAATGGATCGACCCTGCCAAGCAGGAACTGATGGTGCTGGAGCTGATGCAGGTTCAAACCCTGAAATACGAAGTATCATTGTTATGTATGAGTCAATCAATTTCTCAACTTCCATTTTCTATATTAAACTTAACTAGGATCTGTGCATAGAGCTCTTTTTAATTGAAATTCAAACAAAGATACAAAATCAATATGAATTTATTATTTATTAAAGATAAACAACACAGATGGGGATGCAACCTACTGATCTTAGTGCCAATGTGGATGGTCAAGCATAGGATGGTGTGAAGCAAAAGTGGAGCTTCCTTAATTTATATGGCTAATGTGTCACTATATATTCTTTGCTTAAACTATACAATTGATTATTACACATTTTGCACAATACTACAACAGATATTTTACAAGTAGCATGGTCATTTCTCAGCAGCCTGGTCTAATGGGAATCAGGAAACCTGGTTTCTATTCCTGACTCTCCAGTGACCTAATCTGGGACCTTGGGACCTCTCTTTTTTGTCCTCCCACTCTAGTCTATTTACAGTGTAAGCTCTTCAAGACAGGGCTCTTCTATTTATTTCTGCTTGTGCTGTGCTTCTATGTGTGTGTGCAGAGCCTAGCATATCAGGGCCTTTAAGCACTACTGCAGTACAAATAATAATAAATAATTAATGCAGGGAGATTAACCAAACCTTAATGTGAAAATAAAGAGTCAGTCATTTGACCTTATTACAAGGAAGCATGTCTATTACCAGAACTTACTGGCCACAAATTAAAACTGTAACTGTTCTCTGTAGCTTCAAACTGTGAAAAGTCACAAAAGTGGGAGAAAGAATAAAGAAGGAGCAGAGCAACCAGCCAAGGGAGACAGTCACCACAGAAGGTAGGACAGAGATAATCCCCCAAGATTTGAAAATCAAGAAGGAGAAAAAAAAAAAAGCCAGTGAAGAAAAAGGACTCAGGTAACATGGGTCTATTCTCAGGAATGAAAATCTAGCTATAATTTTTCTGCGCCTTAAATTTATATAGCAGAGATTTAGGCTTGGTCTAACTAGGAGTTTGCACTGAATCTAGCTGCATACAGTCCATTTTCTAAATAATGTGTCCATACCACCATGCCTGTCTTGTCGACCTTAAGGGCCCCCGAAGCTGAAGTTGGGTACTCCTGCATTTAATGAGTAACGCAATTCCAGACTTGCTGGTCAAGTTTATGGAAATGTAGATGCAGCACTGTCAAAAGTCGAGGTTCTTGGCCTCCAGGAGACACCCCACAGTGCCCCTCTCTGACCACTCTGGCCAGAACATACACCTCTATAGCTCTCCAAGTGAAGAGGAAAAGCCCCAGGAAAGTGTGTCTTCCCAAGCCTGACCATGGAATCCAGCCAAGACGCTCTTGACAGCAGCACAGAGGTAGTGGAGGGGGAGGAGGAGAACAAGAAAGGCCAGATGGTGACTGGCAAGAGACAAGAACTTTTTAACACATTGGAACCAGTCCCTCTGCCCAAGATGTCTCTCCAGTTGAGCACCAATCCCAGGGAGGGCACTACTGGAGTTCAATTTTTTTTCTTACTACAAGAGGGTTAAGGCAATTGAGTGTGATGTGCAGCATGCTCTGTGCATAGACAGTGTGTGTGTGGGGGGGAGCTAACAAGAGGGTTAAGGCAATTGAGTGTGATGTGCAGTATGCTCTGTGCATAGACAGTGTGTGTGGGGGGGGGAGCTAAAACAGCTTGTTAACGTGTCTGGAGATGAAGCAGGAATCCTCCCTGCACATCTCCATGAAGCTCTCCGATAGGAACTCTTTGATCCTTCTCACAAGGTTTCTGGGGAGGCCTGCCTTATTCTATCCTCCACATTAGGACACCTTCCCTCACCAAGCCACCAGTAAATGCTCTAGTGTCATTGAACCACAATGCATTGCAGCATAAAGCCCAGGTTTCTGGCCACATTCAGTCAGTATCCACTTTTTATCACGCAGTGTGATTCAGAGGAGACTGATATCTTTCATGGCAATCTGGATGAAGGAGGATGGGAAGCTATTCACGGCTGCCTCTGTTGCTAGCATGGCTTCAACCTCTGGCATCCTCCCTTCTCCTCCTCCCTCCTGCCCTCCCAGCTGCAGGATGTCCTGCCAATATGACAGGACCAAATCCCCCCCTTCCCAACTACAGGCTCGTGTGGGATGAGAAAATAGCACTCTCTTGGGAAGCAGCCCTGCCCCACCAGTATGACCGAACCCAGTCCACACCTCCCAAGCTAGGCTCGTGCAGGATGGGAAAATAGCACTGTCCCAAGAAGCTGCATGTGCTGGACACAGAGAAGCCATCCTATTCCGCCGGCATGACCGGAAACCATCCCTCCACCCTCAACCACAGGATCATGCCCTGGCAGGCCCCTTACCATGCCTGCCTGTGAACCACGAGTTCAGATGCTTCCCTAAGAATTCTATGTACCTACTGTACAGTGGCCACTTTAAAGCAAAACTTTGGCCTTGTACAGAACACATCTCCATTGTCTTTACAGCGACCTAACTGTATACTAACAGATTAGGGTTAGGTTTAACACAATGCATTTTCCGTCATGTGTTCCCTTGTAACTTTTCATTACAGTGGGAACAGCAGCTAGCTCAGAGTGTATTCCCCTAGCTTCATCAGCTGTCCGCCTGGTGCAGATATGCCGACAAAAACGGACAAGGGCTGATTTGTTTAAGGAGCAAATGGAGTGGAGGAACATGCTCCTAGAGGAGATTTGGACAGAAATAAAGGAGAGGATGGTGGAAAGGGAGGACAGGCTAGTAGACAGAAAAGCCTGACAGGAGCTACAAGCTAAGTAACAAGAGAAAATCTTGGCAGTGATGGAACAGCTTAAGGCATTCCAGGAAAAGAACTTCTCCTAGGATCCCCTACCACCCTGTGCAAAATCACTTTCCCTCCTACTACAATTTGCATACCTTTTTCCAATAGTTTTTTTGGAAAAGGCTTTTCCGAAATTTGGCCCATCTACACTAGGCCAAATTTTGGGAAAAAACTCTCTTTCAAAAGAGCACTTCTTCCTCATGGGAGGAGGAAGACAGGGCTTCCTAAAGAGCGCATCTGCTCTTCTGCAAAAAACAGCGGAAGAGCAGACGTGTTCTGTGGACGTGACAGAGATTTTCTGGGATACCTCTGGTATCCCGGAAAACCCCTGTAGTGTAGACATAGCCTCAGTTTCATAGCCTCCACCCTCAGGGGTCCCTGGATGGGAAGAGGAGGGGTAGTGTGGAAGAGACTCAAGGGTTTCATGAGCCATGGAAGCAAGAGGTAGGCTGGGTCACGAAGGATCACTATTGGCAATTCCACCTCTCCAATTCTAATTTGCCAGTATGAGAAAAAAGTTCCAGATCGCATCTTTCTGAAGAGGCAGAAGTTCCTAAAGATGCGCGTGTCATGCACCTTTCCCAACCATCCCACATTGATGTCAGTGAAATGACCCTTGTGATCCACCAGCACCTGCAGCACCTTGGAAAAGTTTCCCTTGTGGTTTATGTACACCTTGGCAAGGTGGCTGGGGCAAGATGGGAATGTGCATTCCATCTGTCGCCCCACTGCAGTGAAGGAACCCCATCACAACAAAGCCATCCACTGTGGTACCCACATTTCCCAAAGTCACAACTCTCCACAGCAGAATGGTACTGATCGCCTTGGCTACTTGTATGACAGCCCCCACTGTAGGCTTCCCCACTCCAAATAGATTCCCAAGTAACTGATAGCTGTCTGGCCTTGCAAGCTTCCACAGGCCATGCTCTTCTCCAAAGTCAGAGCAAGTGTCATTGTGGCATTCTTTGGCTTCAGGGCAAGGGAAAGCCATTCGCAAAGTTCCAAGAAAGCAGACACTGCTGATCATTCCATATCTGCATCACTATGCAATCTGACCAGTCTGTGCTTGTCTCACGGCACCAGAACCGGTGTTCCACTGTGTTAATAAGATCAAATACTGGCTGCAGTTCCATTTTGCTCGAAGCAAGGCTTGCCTCTACAGAATGCCCGTGGGACCCCAAGATGGAGGAAATAACTACTCCTCCTCTTCCTGACATGGCATGCTAATGCTCTTAAAATACTGCACCATTAGGAGCACCCAGGTAGACATCAACATCACAATGGTTTGATGTGGATTCATGCTCCTGCTGCTCTGATGTCTGAGTGGACAACCAGGGCCAAAGTGTGAATAGACTGTTTCTCAGTCAAGGAGGAGGAGGTAGACAAGTTCATTATAGGATGCGGATGACACAAACCCATAAGTACCCACTATACTGTTTTGGTCCCAGCGTGCATCGGGAGCAAAACCCAGAATGGAAAGTGATGTAGGCACACTGTGGGATAGCTAACCTGCAAGAAGGTTTAATGGTAGTTCGAATTAGGAGCTTTAATTCCAACTACCTAGACCATGCCGCGTGTAGCCGCAGGCAGGTAGTTCGAACTACGGGGAATTTAAAAACGTCACCCACCCAGGAACATGCAAATGAAGCCCGGGATATTTAAATCCTGGGCTTCATTTGCAAGTTCAAATGCCTACATTAGCCACCCTAGTTCGAACTAGGGTGGCAGTGTAGACATACCCAAAGTAGTCAGCAGTCTGCCTACGGAGGGCGTGCTACTTCAAACTACATTGGATTCCTCCCTGCAGTGGGGACACGGACCTTTGACTTTGCAAAATCGGGTGACCAGAAATCGACCATGATAGATTCAACCTCATCTAGTAGTGTAGCCATGCTTTTAGGAAGCCTACATAAAAAGGGGAATTGCAACAGTGAAATGTGATTATCAATTTCAGTAATGCTGAAAATTCTAGCAGTTTTGAAGCAGTGGTAAGAAACAGATTCCAAGAGGAGATGTGAAAGGCTAAAAGTTGAAGATGACTCATAATTTCTGGCTTCAGAAGCAACATTACATAGTTTAGGAAAAATGAGAATACAGTAAGATATCAAGACTACAAAAGAAATTTTTTTACTTGGAAAGATGGCAATTATAATGTTGAGAAGAAAGGATAGACTTGAGAAAAACCAATACACGAGAAATAAAAGGATGAGGAAGTTTGGCAAGGGACACAGTAGGTTGTCATTTGCCCATCATTGGAATCAGCGATAATGCCTATTCTTGGAATTAGCAATGAAATGCATGAGATGACAAGGGAAAAGGTCACAATAACAGTTTTGGGCAAGCATAGCCCTCTGAGGTACAAGGTGTCTACCAAACTAAGGAGTAGCTAGCAGAAGAGAGTTCTGGTGGCACTGGCTTCTAACCTGAGATGTTCAGGAAAGAGAGAATGGCTAATGGAGCATATACCAGTGGTGGCATGTTTTGTACCTTGTACAACTGAATATAAATGTTTTGGTATTTTAACTCTGATTGGGTATGTCTACACTGCCACCCTAGTTCGAACTAGGATGGCTAATGTAGGCATTCGAACTTACAAATGAAGTCCGGGATTTGCATGTTCCCAGGCGCTGACATTTTTAAAATGCTCCGTAGTTCAAACTACCTGCCTGCGGCTACACACGGCACGGACTAGGTAGTCCTTGCAGGAGGAATAACGGTAATTCGAATTAGGAACTTTAATTCGAACTACCTAGTCCATGCCGCATATAGCCATGGGCAGGTAGTTCGAACTATGGGCATTTAAAAACGTCGCCCGCCCGAGAACATGCAAATGAAGCCTGGGATATTTAAATCCCGGGCTTCATTTGCAAGTTTGAATGCCTACATTAGCCACCCTAGTTCGAACTAGGGTGGCAGTGTAGACATAGCCTTTTTAAGTAAATGTGATTTACTTTGCATGAGCAAGGGAAGCAAGATTTAGCCCTTAAAACAGAATATGCAATGCATGGCCCATTATGTTCTGCACAAGTCATTTTCTTGCTTTATATGAAATACCACCAGGCAACATACTTTAGTGCTGTAGGAACTGCTGGTATATATGGGGGTGCTGGGATTAGGAGTCCCTGTCTCCTACTTAAGCAGTGATTTTTCTTCATAAAGAATCAATTGCTTGTTCATTGATGTCTGGTAGGGACATATGAGACTCTGGACACAGTGAGATCATAAATTAATACAACACACTCATTACTTTTCCTTATGCAATTCAGCTCGCTTTAAAGAAAGCTAGAAAATAAAGTTACCTGAAATGGGAGCCGTGACTGTTGGCTGAATAGGATAGGCTTGCTGGACGAATGGCTTTACACTGGAATAAACAGTTACACAAAATCACATAGTACAAAATTCACAATTCATTTACTTACAGTGAAGGGAAATATATGATTATAATCTTTCTGCACACAGATGTCTCTTTCCTAGTAAGCCTATTGGAAAGATAGTTAGCAAACAGGTAGCAAGGAAAGGTCATCCCAAATTTAAAACACTGAGTCTGATTCATGTTAGTGAACCTCTATAGCCCAAGGCTGTCACATGAGCCTCCACTGTGTGCTGATTGGGCTGCAAGCTGACTTAGGGTATGTCTACACTACCCCGCTAGTTCGAACTAGCGGGGTAATGTATGCATACCGAACTTGCTAATGAAGCCCAGGATTTGAATTTCCCGGGCTTCATTAGCAAGTTCGGTATGCATACATTACCCCGCTAGTTCGAACTAGCGGGGTAATGTATGCATACCGAACTTGCTAATGAAGCCCAGGATTTGAATTTCCCGGGCTTCATTAGCAAGTTCGGTATGCATACATTACCCCGCTAGTTCGAACTAGCGGGGTAATGTATGCATACCGAACTTGCTAATGAAGCCCAGGATTTGAATTTCCCGGGCTTCATTAGCAAGTTCGGTATGCATACATTACCCCGCTAGTTCGAACTAGCGGGGTAATGTATGCATACCGAACTTGCTAATGAAGCCCAGGATTTGAATTTCCCGGGCTTCATTAGCAAGTTCGGTATGCATACATTACCCCGCTAGTTCGAACTAGCGGGGTAATGTATGCATACCGAACTTGCTAATGAAGCCCAGGATTTGAATTTCCCGGGCTTCATTAGCAAGTTCGGTATGCATACATTACCCCGCTAGTTCGAACTAGCGGGGTAGTGTAGACATACCCTTATATAGTAGGGAAAAATAATGCCCTCAACTGCAGGAATTATTGGATAACATTCTCTAATACACATGATGTAGGAAGTCAGCCTAGATCAAAATGATTGCTTCTGGCCTTCTATGAATCCAAAGTCCAATGAATCCAACAGACAGACACCTTGGGCATGTCTACACTGCGGAGTTATTTAGAAAGAACTCCCCTTATTTTGAAATAACAAAGCGAACATCCATACAGCAAGCCTGTTATTTTGAAATTATTTTGAAATAGTGGGCTTGTTATTTTGAAATAACAACCCCTGCTTGTGATGAGGAGTATTTCAATACTATTTCAAAATTTTTATTTCAAAATAGCGTTAGTGTGGACACTCAGCTGCTGCTATTTTGAAATAATTGGCCTCCAGAGGCCTCTCACAGCGGTCCCTGTGACCACTCTGGGTACACACCAGACAACTCCACTGCTCCCCTTCTCCTATACTCTTTAAAGCTTCAAGCAGAAGGAAAAGGGCTTGTGGCACCATACCAGCCCCGGGCCACACAGAGGCACCCTTTAGTCCAGCCATGAGTGATCTCAGAATTTCCTCTGAGCCCCCCAAACCTGAAACACAAGGTGCACTTAGGGAAAAAGCACACCTGCAGCCACTTCTGAAGCCCCTGGTTGGGGCAAAAGAGGGCACCGGCCTGGACTGGTGCGGATATTCTGGATCTCATCAAGGTCTGGGGCAAGGAGATAAACCTCCAGGATCTCCGCACCAAATGCCAAAATGCAGATGTATATGGACAGATGGTGCCTGCCTGGCCCAGAAAGGGCACAGACATACCCTAGACCAAGTGCAGATGAAAATTAAAGAACTGTGTAGGCAACAGATGGTCTTGCTCAAAGCACACTGCCACCATCTGAACTGAGATCTTTGGGGTCAGCTCAGAGATTAATGCTAGGCTTCATGCACTGTGTCTCTTGGGATGACTGCTCTTGTCACTTTTCTTCACAGCTGGGCCAGCTGTGAGCATGGCATATCCACCATCTCCTGTGCCAGCCTTCCAACTCCGCGAGAGCAGCAGGCGAAGGCGACCCCATGACATCCTGGTGTGGGAACACCTCAAATGCCTCCATTCCTTGAACTGCAACTTCGAGGAGGAGCGCCAGGAACATTGGGCTGACCAGGAGCAGAGGTGGACGATCTGGGAGCACAGGGCCACATGCTCCTCAATCATCACCCCTCTGCACCTGCCCCCTAATTCCCTGCACAAGTCCCCACACCTCCTCTCCCCCAAACTCCCAGCACCTACCCCTGCACACACCCCTGTGCTTCTCGTCCTAGCTCCCTCAGGGGCTGCTGAGGCAGTTAGACCTCCCAGGCAGTTGAAGTGTCCCATGGTACCTGAGGTAGGTGCCAGTCCCAGTCCCATTCCTGAGCCCCTCCTCCCAGTTTCTTTCCCCAGTCTCTCCCCTGTTGTATATTCCCCCAATAAAAATTTCTGTGGTGTTTTCAAACAAAAAGGTCTTCTTTATTTGCTCTGTAGGGGAGGGGGCAAAGGTAGAAAGGGAGGGGTGGAGGATTAGAGGCACACAGAGACAATGCAGAGGCTCCTTGTGGAGAGATTGTGGGAAAGTCTCACAAGTGGCCTTGGCTGAAACTCTCCCTCAAGATCTCCCAGATGAGCACAGCCCCCTGATGGGCTTGCCAAATGGCACTGGTGCCCGGCTGCTCAAAAGTCCTGGCCAGCTACTCAACCTCTGCCCCCCACTCTGGCAGGAAAGTCTCCCCCCTTGTTCTCACAGATGTTGTGGAGCACACAGCAGGTCACCACACCTGGGGATGTTCCAGTCACCAAGGTCCAGGCGGGTGAGGAGAATCTGGAACCTCCCATTGAGGTGGCTGATGGCAGCCTCCACAACTATGTGGCACTTGCTGAACTTGGTGTTGAAAGTCTCTTTAGTGCAGTCCAGGCTTCCCATGTAGGGGGAGCAAGGGATAGACTGTGTCACCCAGGATGTGTGTGGTCGAGGAAAAATGTGCGAGCATGCATCCTTTAGAAGAAGCTCAAGTTCATGAAGATGTGGGCGTCTTGCAACTTCCCCCACCACCCGACGTAAAAGTCTGTGAACTGGCCTCTGTGGTCCACAAGGACCTGCAGCATGATAAAAAAGTACCCCTTCCTATTGATATAGTCAGAGACCTGGTGGTAGGGGGCCAGGATGGGAATGTGAGTGTCTAAACCCCCTCCCCCCCCCCACACACACAGACACAGTTGGGAGAGCCCATGGCAGCAAAGCCAGTGATGATGGGGGTCAACGTTGCCCAGCGTGATGACCCTCTGTAGCAGTATGGCGTTGATGGCCTTCACCACCTATAAAATCATAGGAACATAGAATCAGAGGGTTGCATGAGCCTTTGGAAGGTCACCACATTCAACCCCATTCCCAAAGCAGGACCAACCCCAACTAAACCATATTAGCCAGGGCTTTGTCAAGCCAGGACTCAGAAACCTCTAGGGATGGAGATTCCACCACTTCACTAGGTAAACCATTCCAGAGCTTCACCACCCTCCTAGGGAAATAGTAAGAGAGACAAACCTGCATGAGTATGGCCCGACCATCCATTTTCCCACGCCAAACAGGTTTCCAAGGGAGCAATAAGTGCCAGTGTGGCAAGCTTCCAAAGTGCGATGGCAATGCGCTTCTGTAGGGGATTGACGTGTCTCATGCAGCTCCAGGAAGGTGGCCTTCCGCATGCGGAAGTTCTAGAGCCACTGCTGGTCGTTCCACCACTGCATGAGCTCCAGCTCCATAGTGTCAGTGCTGAGGTATCCACATGGGCAGACAGAGCACACAGCGTGAGTTGGCTGTCCCTCAAGGGGGCAGGCAGTGGAAAAGAGGAGTGTGAGACACAGCTGTAGAGAGGAGCCCCTTTAAATACAAGTCTCATCTCGCCTCAGGCAGCAGCTACAGGAAGTGACTGCTCTCCTGATGCCCTCCCTGGAGTGCTTCCAGGGGTTTTAAATGCGATTCAGGCACCATCAGTGTGGATGCTCCATTTCTATATAAATCTGTGCTATTTCGATGGGGACTTGTAGTGTGGACACGCTATTTCAAAATAGTTATTTTTGGGAGTTGTTATTTTGAAATAATCTCGTAGTAGTGTAGACATAGCCCTACTGACTTCAGTAAGCTTTGGATAAGGCCTAGAAAGGGAGCTGAGAGGAGGTACTCCTCAGATCACACTTTCCAGTAGAGCTAGGGCTCAATTTGTCAGATTTACAAGGCTCTTCACTTCATGATGTTGCTGTTCCCAAGGTGCCATGCAATTTCACACACGCCTGACCTGAACCAGGCTTTTCATCTAGTTCTGGCTCACATGCGAAGTTGTCATTCCCTGCCTCCCTCCATGTGCTGTATGTATTAAAATGAGTGAGAAGATTTGTGTTGGAAATACACATATACATTTTCACAACACTGTCATACACTTGCTTTATGGTGCAATTATGTACCATCAAAGGGAGAAAGGGATGAGAATTATTGTCTCCAGCTGATATTCAGCTTCTGCCTTAAGGAATGTTATCTCTTGTATCATTTTAACAGGAGCTATTGTAACTGTAAAGATTCATATAATTGTCTAATCTTCTATTTTAATCTTGTTAAGTATTTTCCTGAATAATATCCTCTGGCAATGAATTCCACTATACTGCACATAAAATCATTCTTATTTTTCAGACTTACTCTTGTGAGGATCCCGGCTGCCCTGTTTGTATCATTCCTGGCCAAAACTAGAAGGGGTAGGGAGAAAAACAACTTTGTAATTGCCTTCTTTGTAGAATAATTGTGTATATTTATACTCAAAATTATTCATTTTGTAAACACGGATGTAAGTACAATTTATGCATAAATCCATTGATCTAGTCTTTATTTCCTACTGATCATTGTTAGGAAACAAACTTTTTATTGGCATCTGTTAACAACTTACCCCAGGTGCACCAGGAAATGTAGGACGGGGAATTCCTGGCAGGCCCAACTTGTTGTGGATAGCAGTAGCTGATACTATCTGAGCTGATGACATTGCTGCCATGTGCTGGAGTGCTTTGTCCTTCGCAGTCTGATCCTTTAACATGACAATGATATGGATTGTTAAAACATTTGGGACCACAAATACTGTTAAATAACTGCAGCTACAAGCACGTAAGCCAAACTTAAAAGGCCACAGAAAACAAAAAATAGAAAACCATGCAGAAAAATATAGCATGAAAGTGAAATTACACTCCCATTTCCTCAAAGCAAAAATCTCCTCTCAGAGATGCCTGGAAGAGCTGAGCTCTCTCAGTCTGCTCTCCTGACATGCAGCAGGCAATTCAGGAAGAGCAAATTGTTCCCCATGTTCTGCAAATTGAATCCATGTAGGCACATCCTTTGCAAATGCAGCGCTTCACTGACTTCATCTAAGTTTTGCCTTCAGTAGAAGTCTCCCTGTATGGTTCTGATTGCAGAACTGGGACCTATGAGAGCTGAGCTTGACCATGCGGATCTGAGAGAATTTGCCCTTAATAATGAAAACTTTTAAGGTGAACATAGAATTATATGTTTACAAATATTAAATATTCTGGTTTCATGTGTGTGTGTGTGTGTGTGTGTGTGTGTGTGTGTGTGTGTGTGTGTATATATTCAAACAAGGAAATGCATTCTTTGACTTCCAATTTCCATTAATATTTTACAGTGCTTCCAAAACAATAGCAACAACAAAACCCCCTGCTCTCAAACACAAAAACCTGGCTTTTTATAAAAACTGTCTGATTATAGATTCAGGCAAGTGGATATATTAGAACAGTAAAAATAGGCACACACTAAATTGTGTTACTCTATGGCCAGGTCATGATTCTTCATGTGTAAATATTGTATTAATAAATGCTAATGTTTAGATCCATGGCTTACAGTGAAGGAACACAAGCAATCATAGGCAAGTTCATTTTTACAAGCAAACTACCATGCATGCTGGCAAGGGATGCATGCTTTTATATATGGTACATGAAGTTGCATACATGTTCCCTCTAAAGCTTATATGTAGTAGTATTAAAGGTGAGCAGTTTCTTCCTTTGAATAGCTCTTTTAGAAACAGCATAGGCTGAGAATACAGTAAAAGCTAGCCAAAAAATCTGCCAAGCACAGCTAATGTACATAATACTGGTTTAGTTAAAATACTTACCATGCTTGTTACCTGGATACAACAACAAACAGTTTGTTAAAATGCTTGTGTATAACAGAAGGTTTTACGTAAAATACTTTGCGAGAGACAAAAGAAGAGCAGTTTGCTCAGTATTACATATAAGGGACAAACAAATTAATTTTCACCTAGGGTCTGATTCATCAAAAGATAAAAAAGGGGGAAAAAAACACAGGAAAATGTGCCCATCTCCACGGCAGAGAGCAGCAGATCTTGGGTGGCAGGTATCGACCATTCAGCATGTTTCTATGGCTTAGGTGGGATACATGGAAGCACCTCTCTGTATTTTGGCCTCTGTGGTTTATAAGAAACCTTACAGCAGAGGGAGCAGGGGAACAGCTACTCTCAGCAGCATTCTCCCTTCCACATCCTGCAGGCTGAAGGACAGAAATTGAATCAAATGTTAATGCTTCTTGAAGCAGCATAAACTCCTATGGACCCATCCACAACTGCTCCTGCTCAGGCACGGGGGATACAATGCAAGATAAGAGCCACATGGCTCCCATAAAACCAAGCTGACAGGGAGAAATGCACAATGGGGCAGCCATTCAGGGACTCTGAGGCCCGGAGGTCTTAGGGGATGACTCCTTTAACGGTTCTGCACTCTGAGACGGAATCTCCATAACTGAAACCTCTATTAAGATATAATATGGCCTTCAGGCAACATGTGGGATCTCTGACTTGATGAATACAGATTAAGGGTATGTCTACACTGCAGACCTATTTCGGGATACTGAAAGCTAATCTGTATCTATTGAAGCAGCCCATTTCTAAGTAGATTTCAAAATAACGGGTGGCTTATTCTGACATCCTATTGACCCTCGTTCTACGAGGGTTAAGGAGAATTTTGGAATAGCAAAGTATTTTGAAATTTGGCACTGTGTAGACAGCACCAAATTATTAAATAAACTATTTCGAAATAGCATTAAAATAAGCTATGCAATTTGCATAGTACAGATTGCATCGCTTATTTTGAGTTAAGAGTGCTGTGTAGATGCATCCTTAGGGTCCAATCCTGCAGCTTTTACTCAGGTAAAACTTCACAGAAATTCTGAAGTTAGTTAATTTGAAAGCATAAACAATTACCTTCAGAGCCCTCTCTCTGAATATGATACCTCCACTGACTACCCATAAAGAGTGAAGCCAATTCATGGGCTTCTTCCTGAGTTCCCAAATATAAACATTGCTCTGCTGCAATATGGAATTAAGGAGTTAAATATTCAAATGCTCTCTTTGGGATCTTGGCATTGCTCAAACTCATGATTAATTATATTCTTACAGAAAAAAGAAAGCCTTTAAAAATTTAAATTTTCCTATAGGAGTTGCAATTCAGAAAGACAAATCCAAAAATAGCATCTGTGATTTACCTTTACTACTGATATGTCTGACACTCAGAAGTTGCAGAAATTGTCATAGGAGAGCATACTTGTTTAAGTTACTGTGGGAGAACAAGAAGGGTTTTTTTTAAACATCTGATTGCAAAGAACTGAGGGTATGTCTACACTACCCTCCTAGTTCGAAGTAGGAGGGTAATGTAGGCATACCGCACTTGCAAATGAAGCCTGGGATTTGAATTTCCTGGGCTTCATTTGCATAAGCGGGGAGCCGCCATTTTTAAAACCCCGCTGGTTCGAACCCCGTGCAGCGCGGCTACACGGGGCACGAACTAGGTAGTTCGAACTAGGCTTCCTCCTCGTGAACTAGTGGGGTAGTGTAGACATACCCTGAGTGTGTGTGTGTGTGTGTATATTACTAATATAATGTATTTGTTGCTATGTGCATTTAAACATGCTGCATGTCATCCTAGAGGTACCTGCATTTCTGTAATAGCAGTGTATTTCAGTCTCTTTGAGTGGTTACATGTTGAATTCTGCAAAGCTGAATGAAGACAAGTTCAGAACTGGCAATGCAAGAATAGCCCTGACAGCAAATGTCTCTCAGATTTATAAACATCTATATACGTTTTTCAGCTGGTTTCAATGAAGCCCCACCAAAAACATCAGCTGAGAGTCTGACCTTATTTTAGGATTCTGAGTTTCTGATCTTGCATAGTTTTTTAAACAATCAGAAAGAGTTTTTTTCAGAGTTAAAAAGTTGTCTTGCTTAACTTCTCTTTCATTTCAAATCAAACATAAGTAGATATGAGGTTCCGATTTCTATCAGTCCTGAGCGCATATAGCTCCAGCAGAAGTCAGTGACAGTTGCGGCTGATTGACATCTGTAAAACTGGGCCCACAATACTAGTCTTCCAAAAATCTGAAAGAAATCTCCATTTAAGGTTCATTTTTCGCTTGGATTAGAAGATGAAGTACCTGCCATATTTACCGTAGCTCCCTTAAAATAAATTAAAAATGACAGCAGCATGTATAGCCGCATCAATCCTACATAATCAATACAAAAGCGATCACTTTGTCCACCAATGAAATGCAGACACTTCTGGGGTGAAACACAATAACTGACCAATAATACATAGCAACATTCAGAACGTGTGGGCAGCAAATGAAGAATATTTTATCCAATTAAAATTGCAGCGGGAATTTAGGCAGCCAGATTACAATAATTACCCAAATTGTAATTTGGCCACCTGCTTACTGTAACAGAGAATGCAATGGGATCTTTAATGACCACAAGGAGTCAGGATATTAATTTTACTTCTTATCAGAGTTCCTCAGCCTTGGTCTACACTAGGGAGTCATTTTGAAATAACAAGTGGAGCGTCCACCCTACCAAGCCCATTATTTTGAAATAAGGGGCTGGTTATTTCAAAAATTACTCGTGCTTTCCACAAGGAATAATGCTTATTTCAAAATAGTTATTACAAAATAGCGGTAGTGTGGATGCTCCACTGCTGCTATTTCAAAATAACCACTCCCCACAGTAATTTGAACTAATTACTACCCACTGCTTTCCGGGGCTCTAGGTCTAGGTAGTGCATCCACATGAAAGGATCCTGGCCTAGACTAATTTTAAGGCTTCCCTGTAGTGTGGACATGCTATTTTGAAATAGTTATTTCAGGAGTTATTATTTCAAAATAAATTATTTCAAAATAAGTTCCTCGTGTAGACATGTCCTGTGTTATCCTGATGCATACTTTTGGAACAGCCTTCCTGAAGTCACACTGGAGTAAATCGGAGTAGGATTTGGCCCAGAATATCCAGCATGATGGTTTTTTTCAAGTGCTATGCCAATATATTGGTTCAGCATAGATTCAGAAGAAGAGGGTCTCCCTATTGCATCATTAACATTAATTCCTGCAGCAGCTGAAGGTATTTCTTAGATGATTCCCATCTAGTACTGACCTGGCCTGACCTCACTTAACTTAGGAGCTCTGATAGGATTGTTGCTCTAGTAAGACACTGAAGTAAATAATGGATTTCAGTTTTAAAAATCCCTTCATCCTTTTCTCCCATTACCAAATTTTTTTATTTTGTGATATATTGTTAGAAGCACTAGACTAGACTTAGAGCTCAGTCATTGTAGTAAAAAACTGGAATTCTACTGAAATCACCGGATTTTCCAGTGAGTTCGGAATTGCACTTTGTAGTGACTCTCTCCAACTTGCAGACACTTCTTGGGTGAGCATAGGCTCTCTCCAACTTGCAGCTGTATATCTTTTGAGAGATTGTAAATATACCCACAAGAGGTAAATTGTCTGAATCTAACATAAATGGATTATACAACTTTTAATTAATCAGACCCCCGAGGTTTATGTTACACAGATCATTTTTGGAATGTGGATCACTGTCACATTAGCACAGAATAACTCCCCAGACTCATCCATTTTACATCCAAATCACAAATTTAAATAAGTTAAAAGAAACATAGGGTAAAACATATTTTACATAACCAGCATGTTAGGATTTTTGCTTGGCTTTCTTTTAATCCA